CTAATATTATTATTAAATCAGTGATCTCCCGATGGAAATCTAATGGAAATTACAAGTTATAAGTTGTAACTTGTAGTTTATTATGAAATGGGCCCCTGGAGTTTAAGGTGGCAGCGCTTGGAATATGTTATCATAAATGTAACACTCTATTTACAGGCAGTGCTTCTATGGATTTCCCCCTTGGATTTGAGCTGAGCTTGGTCCCCACCCCCAGTCACCTCTTAGACTAGATTGTAAACTTTCACTTTCATCATCAGTTCAGTAGTTGAACCAATTGATCCATACCGGTACAGTAAACTTACGTTTTCTGATACTAAAAATATATAAACGGTAAAACACTCTGAGATTAGGGCAGTTTTTTAAAATTTGAACCCTCGTTAGGGTGGTCCAAAGAACTCAAGTTTTTTTTTTAGAGACCTAGGGACCCTCCCATTTTGTTACATCTAATAATAGAATAATCTATGCAAAATCTTAGTACCCTAAGACATAAGGAAGGCAGTGCTCAACAACTTTTAGTTTTTGAAAATTTCAATAAAATAACACTGAACCCAACAAAAAATTCTTTTGTTTTATTTCCAGGATTCAGAAGTTAACAAAGCTATTGAATTGCAAGCTATTGAAGCTATTGACCCTAATACAGTTGATACTAAACATTTTCAGCATAAAGGTATCAGATTACAAAGGAGTTATATAACTTGAAATAATACCGACTTTTGGGTTTTTAACGCTTTTTGGTTTTCTTTTGTTTCAGGTTATTTGAACTGCAATATTTAACTTGGGAAGCTCAGTGTATTCATCAATAGAAACTTAAATAAATAACTGGCCTAGTAAAAGTGTCTAGTTCCTTTTTTGACAGTGTGATTTTTAGTTTGAAACCTGAGTCATTCAAAATATGACTGCGCTTAAGACGCGTCAGGCGGATAGTGTTTACTTAATTGGTGTAAAGGACTTAGAACCTTTAACTAAGAAGAACCAACTTCCTACAACAAAAGAAGTATTATTAAGATTTAATTTCTTTCTAAGTGAAAAAAATCTGTCAGAAACGCTAGTCATAGCACAATTGAAGAATTGAATGAAGTTTGAAGCAGCCCTAATCCCGACTAAGTATACCAAGGATTCAATTGAAAAACTCGAAAGTGTGCATTCACAGTGGTTACTTCTAAAGAAAAATAAAGGCAGAAGAACTGAAAAACAAAGAAAAAACAAGCACTTCTTACTTATTATTTGTAGAAAAAATAGAAAAATTGTTTGATATTGCTCATTCAGATGGTCTAATCCTCATGAAAATACAACAAGACAAAGATTTCTTAACTGACCAAAGAACTGAGAGAAAAATTATCATTTCATCTCAAGACAAGGAGTATACTAAAATACCCCCGCCGCAGCAAACCTGCAGACTAAGCGAATTTCCATTTGACTGATTGGATTTACACTGAAATGTCTACTTAAAAATATAACATTAATTCCCTATATAAATAGAATTAGTTTAACATATACTTAGGTTTGCTGCATCAGGGAGGGTAAAACTGTTTTTTTTTTGTAAAATGTTAATAGTTAGTAAGAAATAAAAACATTTTCCAAATTTGATCAAAATATGTTCATAAACAAGCAAACTACAACAGTTTACTTATTCTCCATAAAAATAACATGGGAATTTTAAATCTACAATTTTTTTTGAATTTTCTCCGTAACCATTACGCGCATAATAACGCTTCAATATACTAAATTATTTGGTTTTTTTAAGCTCTACAAAGTGGTTTAGAAAGAAATTGCTAAATTTTATGTTTTTTGGGTCAAAAACGGGGAAAACCTATTTTTACCCCATAAAACCCCGTTCCCATGGTCCAATCAAGCTGGATCGCGAACTCGTTCGAATAAACGTAGGTTTACACGTTTGTACCAAATTTCATCAAAATCGAACATTTTTGCTCGAGTTATCGTGCTAACGGACACATATATATATATATAAACATATAAATATATAAATCTAATATATAAAATTCTCGTGTCACAGTGTTTGTCTGCAAACTCCTCCGGAACGACTTCACCGATCGTTATGAAATTTGGTGTGTAAATTCTGTAGGTATGCGAATCGGACGTAAACTATTTCCCGTTTCGAAATTCTTAAAAGGGCTCCGCCCCAGTGGCTCTGGAGTTTCCCATGTTAACCTTATGAGAAATGGAATTAATGAATCTTAACAGCTGTTTCAATTAAAGAAGTTGGTTCTGTTCTATGATGTTCAATAGCATTAAAGTTACAAGGATTACCAACAGGGTGCAGCACTATTATTTCTTTTACATTTATGACAACAGCTAATTTGCAGCCAAAAGGTGAGTGAGCGTAGCGAACGAGCTAACCTGAAGGCAAGTGAGCGCAGCGAACGAGCTCCAACCTAAAGGTGAGTGAGCGTTGCGAACGAGCTCCAACCCAAAGGTGAGTGAGCGTAGCGAACGAACTTCAACCAGGACGTGATTGAGCGATGCGAACGAGATCATCTTGAAAATTAAACGTAACGGTACTTTCTTTCCATCGGTCTGTCTTAGGGGAAACCTATAACTTAGGCGATACGAAGTTCGCCGGATCAGCTAGTATATATATATATGTGAATTTGAACGGATGGTGTTTTTGGCCTCTAGGGACCTCAAAACGAAAAAAAAAATTGGTCCCGCGTCCAGGGGCCCATTTCATAATAAACTACAAGTTACAAGTTACAACTTGTATCTTGTAATTTCCATTAGATTTGCATTGGGCGATCAGATGATTTACTAATAATATTAGTTTGTACTTTATTATGAAATGGGCCCCAGGTCTTACCATGAGTACTACGGCAATAGCTTATTCCCTATATGGGAAATTCGCTAAAACAAGAAAGATCACTAGAAAGATTTCCAAAAGAAGAGATAAGAAGAAAAAATTCTTTTTCTGCTGCCGAATCCACATCCTCTTCTATTGATCCACCCGATGATGACTTAAATGAGAACCCAGTTGCCGAAAGCAGTTCAGAAAATGGTTCTGATGATGAATTATATAAACCTTTCGACCAAAAAAAAGTTAGCACAAGTTTTAGTTGGCAAGAGTGAAGATGAAGATGTTTTTGAACCAAAGGCTAAGAAGAGCCTTTTTGACATGAATGTGGCAGGGACTTTAGACAGAAATAAAATTTACTATCGTGAAGCTGTGAGGATAATTATTCCTATTGCCGCTGCACTTGGGCATGATCCTGCAGCATTGCCACTTTCAAGAAGTTCTGTAAAAAGAAAACGAAAAGCAGCAAGGCAGAATTTTTCAACAGAGATGAAATCAAACATAGACATCAAAGTACCAATTGTAGTTCATTGGGACAGCAAAATCTTGCCCGATATTTTAGGTACACAAAAGGTTGATAGACTACCAGTCCTAGTTTCCTATGCTGGTGGAAATGAGAAACTACTGGGGGTTCCAAAACTGTTCAGGGAACAGGTGCTAACACTGGAAATGCAGTACTTAAAACTCTTAAAACATGGGATCTTGATGACAAAGTGATTGGTATGGGCTTTGACACAACAGCTGTCAATACTGGCGTCAAGAATGGTGCATGCACTTTCATTAAAAATAAGTTAAACAAAGAACTTCTATGGCTAGCGTGTCACCATCACATAATGGAAATAATTTCGAGCAAAGTATTTACATTATGTTTGGGACCTTCAAGCTCTCCTGAAATACCCATATTTAAATAACTACGAGGGTTTATTTATTTACAGTATGCATGTGGAGGTTAAGCCTAGACTAGAGCTTGAACTTTGTGTAAATCTGTTTAGTGGTCTCATACAGAATGATGTAGAACAATTGAAAAGTTATGAATCACTTCATGAATTTATTTCCTTGCACCAATCGGGCAGTATATAAGGCATCGTGCCACATGATAGTCAATAAAATTATGCTGAAAGTTGTGCATTTGCTGTGCCTCAATGTAAAATTGGTTGAAGGATTTGTTTCAGGTTCCTTAATGTGATCCTTTAACATAACTGGACAAGCACACCTTAAGATGTGTTTGCTATATGGGACCTCATTCCACACGGTGACTAGTCTAAATTTTTTGAGAATTATACCACTCATTATACAGTAGACCCCCTCTTAACCGACCCTAATGGGACCGGACCTAGGTCGGATAACTCCAAAGGTCGGTTAAAACAGGCAATCCCCAAAATCATAACATAATGAAGTGCTATTTATTTGGAATTATATAATCATTATTTTGAAGTCATACTTGCATTATTTATAAAATAAATTATTCTTATCTCCTTTTTCGTATTCATAGAAAAATCACAAAAAACACAAAACATGGTTAAGTCAAATAGGCCTACTTTCAGTGGAATATATTATAATACAGTACTAGGCAAGAGTCAATAAAAATTCCTATCTTACAGAACCTTTTGTCGAAATTAAAGATACAAGCAACCATTTTGTTACAAGACAGGATGTTTATTTATAGCCTCTCACTGGAGGCTCCAGGCACAAAAACTATCTTGACCTTGGAGTTGTTAACCCCCCTTCCCTGCCCACCCTACAAGTTGAGTTGTTTGTTTACTCCAGCGATAAGAATCATTTCTCAAAATCGTAACGCACTTTATGATGTTATAAATTTGCCACGCAGATAACAAATCAGATCAGATGTGCTAGCGCTACGAACGATGATGACAAACTGACAATAGGCTATGCTATAATTTTTTAACTTATTCTTAGTCATATCCTGTGGAGATAAGCGTATGGTTCAGTTCTCATCGCCCAGCGTGGGAGCGGAAATGCCGAGATTCCTAGAAAGCGGCGGTTAAACCGAGCTGCTCTCAAAGCAAGGTCGGTTAAAACAAACTGTATTATTTTACGATCGAAGGCGGATAATCCCATTATCGGTTAATACGAGGTCGGTTAAGAGGGGGTCTACTGTAACAACTCTTAATTAGAAAATTATCACAAGGAATCCACATGTAAAAAACAAAACACAATGTATCAAATTAATTTATTAAACGAACATGATAAACCAAAATAGCAAATTGAAAACCAGAAAAGCTGCTGGGAAGATGATTCGACTTCGCCTATCAATCCAGTGTGCCATTTCATGATTTGTCATGTGAATACCAGCAAAGGCCTGACGTCTCTGCATTAGCCTACGCTTTACTTTCTTATCACTCGTGTAGTCGCCAACAGCAAGGTCGAAGGCAACATTTTTCTGAAAAAAGTGGATAAATTACAAAAATTTAAAAATGATAAGATTAATATTATAATAATATAATGGTAACTTATGCCTGCTTTATGATAATTCCTAAAATTGCAATGACAAAAGATACTATAATATTTATTTCCGGTTCCAACCTGTTGCATTCTGCGATCTCTCATTGCCGCTCTAGATCGCTGCCTCAGCTCGGGTGAAGATGGACAAGACAAGGCTTTGCGCTTCCAGGCCACTCTCTCCGACCTCAGCGACGACTTGAGTATGTATTTGCTGGACGCTCTCTTGAGTGGAACGTGGGATGTCCTGGAGAACACATCACTTCAGTACACTCCTGCTAACTTATCACTCACAATCAGTATACAGTGTAGTTTCTCATAACTTAAATGGGATATTTAATTGTGTTTCTGTTGGAAAGTTGTCATTAACTAAGCAAGCAATGTAAAAAGGTAACAAACTCAAGACAAACCTGTAAAAGCCACTACAAGGGGCCGTCAACTCAAAAAAAAAAATACCCCCGCCGCAGTAAACCTGCAGACTAAGCGAATTTCAACTTGTCTGATTATATTTCTACTAAAATATTTCCATAAATAAGACATAGGTTATTTATTCCCTATTTAAATAACATTCAATTTAACGAGTGCTTAGGTTTGCTGCTTATTCGGGGAAGGTAAAAAGTGTTTTTTGACCATACGTCAATAGTATAGAATGAAATAAATAAATTTGCATAATGTTATCAATATATATCAACTAGCAGAGTACCCGTCCTTCGTACGGGGTTGGTATATAAGTGTAAAATGTTTATTGCAGTCATAATCAAGCTTTGTGTTTGCAATGGGGCGCGACACAGTTTGATAAAATTTGGTTCTTGAAGTTTACGGTATGCTATAGTATAACACATTTACCATAGCCATAATGCTCTACTACTGCACCTAAACAATATAAAGCAAATTATCAAACCTTTGCACAATATCACAAATGATTCATTAAATGGTCATATAGGCCTAAAAATAACTGTAAACAATCCTACTTTGATAGTTCTCATTGCGTATCACAGCTTTTGTTGCTGCTTAGTTCAATTAGCTATTGTCAAAAATTCAAACAAAAAATGGCCTAATCGTGTTGTACCCTGTTGGTAAACCTTATAACGTTATATATCATAGAACCATCTTGTTTAGTTGAAACAGCTGACTAAATTCTTTAATTCCTTTTAAATGTGAATACTCTTAAGGTTAACATAGGGATCCATAGAGCCACTGGGGCGGAGCCCGGAAGGATTTTTGAGATAAGAATAGGCTTATATGTTAATCGGGAATGTGAGCTATCATTATGCCAAATTTCAGCCCAATCCGTCCAGTAGTTAAAGCGCGATTGAACTTCAAACAAACAAACACACAAACTTTCACATTTATAATATTAGTATGATAAACAAGTAAAGTAGGCCTACAACCATTTTTATTTTCTCCATATAAGAATAACATGGGAATTTTAAATTACACTATTTTTGAATTTTCCCCGTGACAGTTAGGCATACAACAGCGCTTCAATATACTAAATTATTTGTTTTTTTAAGCTCTACAAAACGGTTTAGAAAGAAATTGAACATTTTTTTGTTTTTAAGGTCAAAAATGTAAAAAAACCCATTTTTGCCCCATAAAACCCCCCATAAAACCCCCCATAAAACCCCCCATAAACCCCTGTTCCCATGGTCCGATTATGCTGGATCGCAAACTCGTTCGAATGAATGTAGGTTTACATGTTTGTACCAAATTTTATCAAAATCGGATCATTTTTGCTCGAGTTATCGCGCTAACGGACACACACACACACATATATATATATGAATTTGAACGGATGGTGTTTTTGGCCTCTAGGGACCTCAAAACGAAAAAAAAAATCGGTCCCACGTCCAGGTCTTACCATGAGTACTACGGTAATAGCTTATTCCCTATATGGGAAATTCGCTAATATTCCCTATATGGGAAATTCGCTAAAAATAAACCTGTAACCTCTGAAATTCTAGAAGAACACCGAGAAAGTTTAATTTAACCTATGGTATTATTGCGTTGGATGATCTAAATGTAATCAAAAACACTGCATCTGATACTGTTGAAAAAGGATTGGAGGTTAAATCACAAAAAACTGCGCCTAAAACCTCACAGAAAAAAAACCTTCTAGAAACCAATTAGAAGAGAAACTTGATCTAGCAACAAACTCAAGAGGTAAGTTATTTTTAATACCAACAAAAATTTAAATAACATTCAGCGATTTATTTCTCGGTAACCGAGATCCGCTGAGTTTAACAAATATCACTAAAAACTTCCTTATTTAAAGGGCTTTAAAATGGTGTATAATAGTTTTTTACCAAGTTTCAATCAAATTTCCTAATGTAATTCAATCATTGTTGTGAAAAAACATGGTAGGGCAAAGAAAAGCTATTGTGAAGAATAATACTTTTAACTGCAGGCAACGAATAACTTGTATTTTTTTCTCGCATGCAACGCCTTTTTTATAACTATTAAGCTAAGAAAAGAAACATAAAGTAGCAAAATGTGTTTGTGATAAATTAACGGTTATCGTATATTTTTCATATTTCAGATAAGATTTAAATTAACTCGCGGAAGTTCGGTTGTGGCTATACCAAAACTTCCCGACATGGATTGGACGTGGAGGAAGTGTGACATGGCCTCCTCGATCTCCAGACTTGAGCCCGTTAGATTTTTTTGTTTGGGGTTACATGTAAAGTCTAGTTTACTCGACTGTTGTAAACTCTGACGTTGAGTTACGGTAGAGAATCTTTGAGGCTGCTGGGAAAGTAAGGGAAAAATTGACGTACAAGGTCACAGTTGGCGCAATTCACAAGCGAGCTAGGGCCTGCTTGCGGGAAAACGGAGGGCACTTTACACCCAGCTGTGATTCCACCTTAAGTTGTGCTTCGGACGAAGTATGTCATAGATTTTATTTGTATTGTGTGTTTTTACTAATGTATTGTGTTTTTTTAATAACAAATTTTCCAAAGTCTAAACAAAAACTTTTTAGTTTGATGAAAGTGTAGTCTGGTCAATCATTAATTACACAAACCCTCATCATCAGTGGTCAGCTCATAAAATAGTAAGTAAAATTCATTATTTTTTACAATATCTGTTTTGGTTTAACCGTGATTTTTCACAATAGTACATAAAATTCACCATAGATTTGACAGTAGATAATTGTAGTTATACATCATTGTAAAGCCCTTTAAATAAGGAAGTTTTTAGTAATATTTGTTTAGCTCAGCGGAACTCGGTAACCGAGAAATAAATTGCTGAATGTTATTTAAATTTTCGTCAATATTAAAAATAATTGTTAAACGAAGAAATTTAAATAGAATTTTTTTCTGTACCCCAACGATTATGTGTTATATCTATTTAAAATTTTGTGAGGATTCTGAAAATGACATTTAAATTAACAATTAGTGCATTTTTAACAGAGTAATATAACCTTTTTCATAACAACTACAAAAAATTTTGAAAAGTCTTAATTTATTTGTTATTCCCTAACGGTTGAGGTTGTGAACCTCAAATGTGCGTCATTATGTCGCCATTACCATGTAGTTTGATGCAAAACTTTATTTAACACTTATGACCTGACACCCTGTATAGGTACGGTAGGTAGTCATTTAATTCAGGTTATAACTGTATTGAAATTAATTTCTTATTCAAGAATAACGTTTTAAAATTAATTTTGATATGTTAATAAGAAATCAACCAAAAACCAAAATTTAACAGTTTACGCTGCTACTATGATTTTCCATTAAAGCTTGAGGCATCGTAAGCTTTACTCTGTTGTTCTTCATTTTGTTGTTTAGATCGCTTGGTTATGCCTAAAGTTCCAAGCATTACAAATATTGTTTGTAACATTAACTCTACAATATTTTCCAAAATAGATTAATTGATAATAATTTGGTGGACTATTTCGTATTAGATTAATTTAATATAATGGTTTTTTTTAATCATTTATACAAATAACTTCAAATTCTCTCTGAAGTTTTACTTAAGGAATAATTTATTTTTTTATTTTTCCCCAAACCTTATCTTCAACTAGCTTTAGATATTAGAATAACTATTTACTGCTTGTTCAATAATTTCAATCTCCGAGTGATTTGATACCCAGGCACATCAGTTACAAATGAAAAAGGACATTTTTCGAACCAAATTTTAGCATTAAAAATCTTAAAATACCATAAAATACTATATACAGCTTCTCTTATTATTTCAAATGCAATTTTTATATTTCCATTCTACTCATGTGTTTAGATATATACTAGCTGTACCATCGGGCTTTGCCCCGTTTAACTTCATAAGTATTCGCATGGCTCAATCACGTCCTGATTGAATTTCGTTTGCTACGCTCACTCACCTTTAGGTTGGAGCTCGTTCGCTGCGCTCACTTGCCTTCAGGTTAGCTCGTTCGCTACGCTAATTTGACTCCAGGTTGAAGTTCGTTCGCTACGCTCACTCACCTTTTGGTTGCAAATTCGCTGTTGTCATAAATTAAAAAAAAAATAGTGCTGCACCCTGTTGGTAATCCTTGTAACTTTTAATGCTATTGAACATCATAGAATAGAACCAACTTGTTTAATTGAAACAGCTGTTAAGATTCATTAATTCCTTTTAAATATGAAAAATCATAAGGTTAACATGGGAAACTCCAAAGCCACTGGGGCGGAGCCCGAGAGTCCAACCAGAATAAAAACTACTTAGTTTTCCTATTTAATGCCTAAAAAATCAGTGTACCAAATTTCAGCCTCCTAGGTAAATGGGAAGTGGGAGAATTAGTGATGAGTGAGTGAGTGAGTGAGTCAGTGAGGGCTTTGCCTTTTATATATATAGATTAAGATTAAATAAATCTATCTATATATATAATACGTGAAGCCGTATTTTGTTAACGCAACTCCTCCCTTATTTGTGGACCAATTTCAACGTTTAAGGTGTCAAGAGATTCGTCTCAATATGTAGTTTTGCAATAAGGTTTTAGAACTTTAAAATTTTTACTCTTAAGGGCGTGAGACCCTCTTAAAGGTCGGGTTTTCCTCATAAGAAATACATAGAACAAATTTAAAAACAAAAACAGCTGTTTATAAAAAGAAACGCTTTAGTAAATATTGATGTTTTAATATTCAGTAGGTTAAGACCAAGTTAAACATTAATTCAGTTTTATTGTAAAAACGGAAAATGCCTCAAGTTGAAAGAAGAAATATTGAAAACGGGAGAAGGAGACAATTAATAATAAGGTATCTTATGCGTATGAGGAGAGTAGAGAAAGAGAGGCCTGATCTAACAGATACACATCCATATACACATGCACTTGGTGAGATGAATAATATTTTCCAGTTCTGCTATGCAACTTACTTTGGAAGTGAAAAATATGCGAAGCACACAGTGTTGTTACGGTCGTAAAATAAACTTGCCTAATGTCAGATCAAAAAATGTATGCAAGACATTTTTACTTATGACAACAGATCGAGATATTTCAAAACATTTATTAGAAACCATAATAATGCCTTGAGTTGATAAGTTCAAGTACTGTAGTAAGATTATACCAAATCTTGGCGGTCTTTATGTTTTTATTGTAAACTTTTGTATTACTCGCTCTACTTTAATTGAGGAAAAACACAAATGGATTGTTTAGTTCTAGGTTATGTTGCCAGTTCCTCGGACAAACGTATAACAAGTTTTTTGACTGAATTTTAGTGACAATATTAGACATAAGTGAAGGAATTAGTGTTCATGTATTCAATGATCGAGTAGTTACAGTCAAGTTTATTTTTATGATTCAGGAGAGGAAAATAATATACGCTGTTCAAAAAGAGAAAATGAAAATTGCTATCCAAATCGTATAGCTAAAAAAGTTATCCAACCTATTTCGACAAATGAATCCATACTTTCAAAACTTTGGGACAGGTATTAAGAGAAACCCCACTGAACAACGTGAGGACGTTCTGATGCGGGGCATATACTGTGACTAACACACACGTTAAAATACGTTAACCAGCTTTCAGTGTTGCTGGTTTAGCCTATTCAAAGCAGATTATGGCTGTCCAGTTAGTTGGTAACCCATAGTTTTTGGGTAAAATAATGGAGCACATTAAATGGTTGATATCACTCCACTTTTCAGGATTCTCTACGAAGAAAATTCGTTTGATTAGGGGGATGTCTAGGCAACAGTTTTCTTCAATTCTCAATGCTGGAAAAACTTGTTAGCTCGAATTGAAGCAGATCGTTTAGCATTCATTAGAAGCTACCAGTTAAAACTGAGAGCAGAAATAATGCAGGTTAACCTTGACGACGCAAATAGAGATATTTAAAATTAGTTTCTAACAAGTGTTTAAACAACTCTAAGATGTAGGCCTAACTAGAATTACTCGAATTTAAGCATAACGTTTTCCTTGGCGTTATGTTTCATACTATGCGGCTCATTGAGCTACACGGGTTCTCTAGTAGGTATATATTTTGTAAATGGTGTATCCGTTGGAATCTTACTAATATTATAAATGTGAAAGTTTGTGTTTGTTTGTTTGTTTGAAGTTCAATCACGCATTAACTACTGGACGGATTGGGCTGTAATTTGACACGATGATAGCTCACATTCCCGATTAACATATAGGCATATTCTTATCTCAAAAATCCTTTCGGGCTCCGCCCCAGTGGCTCTGTAATTCCCCATGTTGACCTTATAAGTATTCATATTATTTAAAGGGAATTAAAGAATTTTGTCAGCTGTTTCAACTAAAAAAGTTGGTTCTATGATATGCAAAAGCATTAAAAAGTTAAAAGATTTACCAACAGGGTGCAGCACTATTACTTTTTTTCATTTATGAAAACAGCTAATTTGAACTAAGCAGCAACAAAAAGCTGTGATACGCAATGAAAACTGTCAATGTAGGATTGTTTACAGTTTTTTATGTTTTTAATTTAATGAATAATTTGTGATATTTTGCGAATTTTTAAAAATTAATTTTTCTCTATTGTTTAGGTGAAGTGGTAGAACATTATGGCTATGGTAGATGTGTAATATTATGTATACCATAAATTTAAAGAAGCAAATTTTATCAAACTGTGCGCTCCCCCATTGAAAACGCAAAGCTGGAGTATAACTGCAATAAGCATTTTATTCCTATATGCCAACCCCGTACGAAGGACGGATGCTACTAAATAAATAAAATAAATAAATAAATAAACATATACAATACATACTCCTGTCTATGCACTATATTAACGAATGCAAATTCTGCCAGTGATAAAAATATGAATAGATTGCATCCAATAAACCAGATGTCATTCATCTTCAAGTGAGAAAGTTTTGGCATTGCATCATTCATAGCACCAAGTCCAAAAAGTCCAAGCATTGTGCATGTTGCTGAAATAAAAGCAAATATGAATAGAAATATCATCATTCTATTCTATATGATTTGATTATTGATACAACACTTCAAAACAGCATTTTATTCATAACAGTCAGCAATTTAATAATATACATATAAACATTATGTGAGTATCCCTAAAATTGACAAAAATGTATCTGTATTTGAAATTTAATAATTTTAGAGCATGTATACTTGGCAGCAGCATTAATCTTCTTCCCCGACGTTTTCAACGACAAAAAAAAACTAATCCCCTCAAACGAACCTTTGTCTCAGATTTGAGCTCACTTGGCTGCTACGAAAGCTAAAAGGAGACCTTAATTTACAGACAACCCACATACCAGTACACAATAAATGTACCAAAAGAACAGAATGAGGAAATATAATTTCTTCACTTACCTAACCAAATACGGCATGGCACAACTTCAGGATGGACCCAGAAGGTTCCCCAAGACGTTATGACCAGCAAAACACTTGGTCCATAGTAATCCCAGAAGTAAAAGCCAAATTTCCTATCGAAATAAAAGGTAACAATGAGAGAATTCTTGCGTATGCCTAAAAAGAAGAAAATATGTCACAATTAGTACAATCTTCACTTTATAATTTTGAGTATAATGAGGAAATAAGTATTCTCGGGCAAAATATTAAAAGAACTTTGTATTGGTTTTTGTAAATAGTATTAAATACTATTTAGATACTATTTAAATAATATACTATTTATTTTTGCATTTGCAACCCAAGGCCAAGTTAACACGAACGGCCACCGCACCTCAGGCCAAACTTCCCTGCGAACTTGTTGAAATTGTGAACAACTCTTGCGATCACGGGGGTTATTATCATTGTCACCCCTCAATCATGGTAAATTATTAATTTAAAAAATAAAATCCATTTTTGTTCTATAAAAACTGTTTTCGTACAAAACGCTGCAACACCCTTTTGTTCGTAGTGGTAAATCTGACACTTATTATACTGAAAATGTTAATTACAATTTAGTACTATCACTAGCTCTTATTTTTGAATTTAATAGTCTACCTTACAAACACAAAGACCAGACTCACCACAAGTATGTACATCTTCAAAATCTCCTTTGGGTTTGTCATTATTCCACTTGTCACAATTATCTGTAATGGTAAAATACCATACAACTATACACAGTAAAATAATATATTGCTGCACATAAATATTAAAATTTACTCAGAATGTAACAAGTGATTGGTGGTTATAAATTATATGAAAAATTTTGAAATAACTCACTGGCCTTCTAATCATTAAAAATAAATTTTGCAAATCAATCACATTTTTTGAGTTTGAATCTGTCTTTAATACTCGGAGCTCATCTTCCTCGTTTGGAAGTGACTCACCGAATTTACCTATTTGACTTAGTTGGGAAATAAATAAATACACACTACTCTTGCCTGACATTTTTACACCTTGTTCCATAGCAATAAATAGTAATGTAATATCTATATTTTCCCAAAAACAGAAATATCTGACATTATATACAAGTTACTCAAATTATGTTCAACATTCACGTATTGCCGTTTTTACATCATCGATAACTGGTGCCAGAGAAAAACAGATATCGGAAGAGGAGTTGAGTAAGAAGAGAAAGGAGGAGAGAAGAAAGGAAGGATGCAACCGTGGAGGAAGAGTAGAAAGGAATGAGATGAGTGGGAAAATGAAGGAGATGAAGGTGGAGGAAGAGAAGAAATAAAGGAGAAAAATATAGAACAGAAGAAAGGAAGGAGATTAGTGTGGAGGAAGAGTAGACAGGATGGAAAAGAGTATGGGAAGGAATAGAAATGAAGGAGATGAGTGTGGAGGAAGAATAGAAATAAGGAAACGAGTTGGAGGAAGAGTAGAACCAAAGGAGATGAGTGTAGATGAAGAGTGGAAATGAAGGCGACGAGTGTGGACGAATAGTAGAAGGAAGGAGATGAGTGTGGAGGAAGAGTGTGGAGGAAGAGTAGAAAGGAAGGAGTTGAGTGTGGATGAAGAGTAGAACCAAAGGAGATGAGTGTGGAGGAAGAGTAGAATTATTTAGGCAAGTGTAAACATCTAAATTAGTTTTTTCAACGTGAATAAACTAAGGGGTAAAGAACGTTACCTACGGAGGTGATGAATGTGTCACTGGTGGTTTGGTTTGTAGAAGTGAAGGCCTTGAGACCATTTAAGTTGAACTCGGATAGTCCTGTGGCTACTGAGGGAAGCACCACGACAGGCACTGAGCTATCCCACTCAAGTATAACAACGCTCAGGTTGTATCTCCCTGTTTAAAAAATTTACCTTACATTACAAACTGAATCAAACTAGAGTTGTTTAAAGCAAATTGAACCACTGTTAAAGCTCAACAACTGCTTGCACAGGACTGATAAAAAAATTCTCATTTAAAAACTAATACTAACAAGAATACGTGTATCCATTAGAGAAAAATAGTGATTTGGAGCATTGTCTCCTCTTAAACAAGGCTGCGTTGCAGCAATAATGCAATGATGGTTGGCCACTGGATTGTTAAAATTAGCACTAAGAAGGTTTATGTTACCTGGCTTCTGTCTACGATCGACGGTAGTTTTAGGAAACTACAGCTGTTTCATGTAAAAGAAGCCTGGAAAATGATTAAGAGTATGAGAGGTAAATGTGTTAGTAGAGAGAGAAATATTGTACCAGTTAGAACCCTCCTAGATCACTATAAGGAACTATTTGATAGTACAGATAAGTGGGAGCCACAGCACATTGGAAGGCTGATAGTTGTGGAAACCGTACCAGAATTGGACAGACAAATAGACAGAGGAGAGCTAGTTAAGGCATTTAAGTAATTAAAAAATAGGAAAGCATGTGGAGTTGACCGAATATGTCCAGAGTTCTGAAAATATTTTTTCAATTTGGTTCAGGTTTTAATCGGCGATTGCGAAGTATAATCATAATAATAATATATAATAAGTTGATATTTTATATTTTTATTTGTATTTAATAGATATAAATCAATATATTTTTTTACCGCGTTTCTGGTACAACATCTATTTTGAATGAAATTTAAATATGTATGTTTTTGAGCTTGAGGTAGTGTTTTAATGAATTCCCATTGGCTACCGCGACCATATCCATGCATTCAGTGTGGTGTACATACTTACCGCTTAACCACTACATCAGTGCACCCAACCGACTGTCTCACTTCCGGTTCTCGGCCCGTGCGTAGCCTCAGACTCAGTTAATCAGGAGATGTCTGAATAGTCCAAACAATAATGATGATATTATATTTTCATTTGAAACTTTAATACAAGGTGGTCTAATAAAATCCGAAACTTTTAAACAGTGTTTTCAAAGATGCTCTTTTATTTAGAACGCATCAACACATTCAACTATTTTTTTTGTTGCATTTACCCTATCCTACGATTTCAAGCTTTGAAAACGTGTGTGAAAGAAGCGATGACGATATACAAAAATGCCAAAGAAGATCTGGTTTGCCATGAAAAACAAAATATCGTCAATTTTCAATGGAAAAGCCTGTTGAATTAAAAAAAAAAACAATGGATTTTCAGGAAAATATAATTGATATGGTGATTGATAGCAAGAGTAATAAAGTCATTGAATTGAACAGAAAACGTTTACGGCTGATTATAAAGACAGTCATCTTCTGCGCAAGGAGTTATCTACCGCAACAGGGGCATCGTGATTACGGATTGATTCCTGACTTCAGACAAACTGGCGAGGACAGTTTCAGTTTGAGAGGTAACCACGGAATATTTCAGGGCCTTTTAGCCTTTCGAATTGATGCAGATGATCAAGATTTAAAACACTACTTAGATACCTGCAACAAAAACAGTAGTATGATAAGTAATACTGCGCAAAATGAAAAAAATAGACTGTATTGGAGAAGGCATAAGAGAAAAATTAGCAAACGACATAAAAAATGCAAAGTTTTACTCCATTTTTTGTGACGAAATAACAGACATCATCACTAAAGAACAAATGATGTTTTAATTAAATAACTTACGTCATCAATCCATAAATTGCTGTGGAGTACGCGTTTCAACCATCAGGTCATCCTCAGCTCCACTGTCACTAAGAGTGCGTGTAGCCGCAAACCTGAGCCCGTCCAGCCGTGCGCACGGTGTTATCACAGTATTTGTTATCTAAATGTTTCGTACGTGTCGTGTATGTGTGATAAATGTAAAATATGTTTGGACTATTTATTTAATATATCGACGCTGTTGCTATAATGCAACATAGAAGCAAATTCAACCTAGTGACAGTGGAGCTGAGGATGACCTGATGGTTGAAACGCGTACTCCACAGCAATTTTTGGATTGATGACGTAAGTTATATAATTATTTGATTACTCAATCCGTTGTGCTACAATCTCAACATTATGAAATGACGTTTTGCGTTACATACGTTGACAACTGGGCATTCAATTAAAGAAGCCATTAACAAAGAGCTTGAAGCATTGGAATTGAGCTATTAATACCTTTGTGGCCAAGGCTACGATGGAGGATCCAACATGGCCGGAAAGTTCAAAGGGGTACAGGCCCGCATAATAGAAAAATAGCCTTTGCCTATATACACACACTGCTTTAGCTACTCGTTGAACTTAGTAATATCAAAGTCGTGCGAAACTCCAGCAGTAAGGAATATGATGGGAATTGTGGGATCATTATCGGCATTTTTATCTGCATCAGCCAATAGAATGAATGCTTTGGAGGCTATTATCTCACAACTTCCAGTCACAGAAACCAAAAAGACAAAGCTGAAAGCCATGTGCCCAACTCGTTGGGTCGGGAGACATGATACTCTAATTACTTTCAAGGAATTACTGATCCCAGTTGTTACTTTACTTTGACAATCTGTCAAGCAGTAAAGATGTAAATGCTGAAACAGCAAGCAAAGCTTGTATGTTTGGTTCTGCAGTTCATAGGGGCGAGTTCCTTGTTGCTCTAGAAGTTACTGCATATTTCTTTTCCATCACTATACGACTTAGTGGACAGCTACAAAATCCTAAGGTTGATCTAGCATTGAAACACGTTACAGAAGTGTTGGAAGTTTTGAAGTGTTAAAGATGGGCTGGGGAACTAGAGTTTGGAAATATTTTTGAAAATGCCTTAAGTGTAGCGCAGGACATTGGGAGCGACATTTCCATGCCAAGAAGCTGCTCTAGACAGACCCATCGAGAAAATTTTCCTGCGTCAAACGTTGAAGAGTAAATGAAGTTTCCTGGTCCATATTCTGTCCAGTTATGGATCATTTTGTTTCGGAGCTAGAAACACAATTCTCCCAAAACTTCTTTACCATACTATTACTTGAAGGTCTGATGCCTTCTTATAGGTATAAATACAGTGAAGAGGAAGTACTGAAGGCAAGTAACATCTATGAATCCCTCCTAGACAACGCAGCATTTCTCAGATCAGAACTAAAACTTTGGAGAGCAAAATGGGAAAAGGAGGCGGCACTGCCAGCAACTTCAATAGAAGCTTTGGAACTCTGCAACAAACAATTTGTCCCAAACATATTTACATTCCTCCAAATTTTTACGACAACCCAGTTACAACCAGCACTGCGGAGAGAAGCTTTTCCACTCTTTGGCGCATTAAAACCTACCTAAGGAGTACAATGGGTCTAACCAGACTAAATGGACTGGCTTTGGCAAACATCCACAAAGAGGTGGAGATTGATGTTGAAAAGGTGATTGACATTTTCTCCCTAAAAAAGATAAGATATATGCTGATGCCCAAGTGGAACGAAGATTGAAGAGGGAGAATGAGTAATCCATTGTGTATAAGTGTATAAAATAAATAGAGTATAGTAAGATATGGTTAACAATGTTTTTTATTCCTTAAAGATCAACCTAATTATCAGGGAACAATTGAACACAGTTTTAGACGTTAAAAATTGCTTTAGAAAGTCACCAAAGGGCCTTGAAAATACAAAAAAAACCCTGAACACCCCCCCCCCTGCTTGGGAGGTGTTCCATAATCCCCAAAACTCCCCAGTAGCCCCCCCTCCCATTTAGAATGTCCTAGAACCGCTATTGGAGGCATGAAACAGCTGTAGTTTCCTAAAACTACCATGGATTGTAGACAGAAGCCAGGTAACATAAACCTTATAAGTAACAAAAATATGAACGTTGTACCTTTGACTATTGATGCAACTAGATATTCCATCTCCATGTTAAATTTGTCACCAGTTATTTAATCAAAATCGTCATAGTTTATGTAAGCCGCCAACAGAGTGTGTTGGTCTAAGTTACTGATTTCTGTTGAATGAATATACAAACTTTTTTACTGAGCCAAACTAATGCAATAGCCTATTGTGAGCTATAGCAACTGTTATGACCCATAAACTTGGTCAGCAACAAAAAATAAGGTGGAAAACAGAATTTTAGACAACAGCCCATTCTGTGACTGGCCACGGCCAACTTTAACTCCAGGCTGCGGCCTGGTAGAATTGGCAACGTCACAAGTGGTGTTGTTTGGTGCCAGATGTCCCATAAGATGGCAGATAGGTGACATCAGCTTGCATTTTATTCATTTCAATTTAAATTTATGGATATAAATTTTTTTAAATGTTGAAAACAAAACATAGAGAATTGAAATCAAAACAATATGAATTTAAAATCGATATCTGTACATTTAAAGCGGAGTAAATATTTTCATAGTTCAGTGACCAAGTTTTCGTAAATACACAAATACCATTAGCTGCTTCCAAAAAAAAACAGCTGTTACAACTCTACTTCCGACGTTGCCACTTCGAAGGCCGCGGCCTGGAGTTAAAGGGGCTATCGCTTTCTTGAGTCGAGTTCTGAGGGGACATGAGCTAAATTTATTTACGACTGAAAAGAAGTTTCTGTCCATACTTTTCTGTCTTCACAAGACCAGATAAATTGTGATGGGAGCTAAGCTGCGCATAATAACTGACCATAAGGCACTATAATTTTCATAAAAACTTGCAAATTGCCCAATTTCACGATTAACTAGATGGGTCCTTGCTTTACAAGAATACCAATACACAATCGAGGGATGTCCGGGTATGGATAATATAGTGGCAGATTCTTTAAGCCGCTACTGTAAAAGTGATATATCACAGGAAAGAAACGGTGATGATGAACCAAAAATAGTGGATGCAACTGTGAAAAGACAACCAAATAGGTACTCAAACAATGTTAGACTTAAAAATTTAAAAGAACATCAACATTTGGACCCACAATATAACAACATAATACAACAAAAGTTAAGAGAGAAGGATGGTGAAGTTTTACCAAAACCTTTGCTAAATGATGAAATAGAAGATGGACTTTTATTAAAGAAAAACAACAATGATGTATGGAAGGTTGTAATACCAGAAGCGTTAGTAGAAAGTTTGATATGGAGTTGTCACTTTTATTATTTACATTGTGGTCCTCAGAAGTGTTACCAAATTTTAAATAAGAGCTTTGGATTCAAGAATATGACCAGGACCAGGACGTAGGCTTTATTAGGCTTAGGAGTCCGTCAGACAGAAATCAAAGAAGCAAGGATGTCGCTAGGCCCTGATTCTGCGGCTAAGGCCAGTGGAATGCAAGTGGCTGTGCCAGGTGCAGATGATCCTGATTTTACCACCTTTAATTCTGTTTGACCCTGAAGAGGAGTACAACTTTTACTTAATAGTGGGAAACCCTGAAGACGTCCTGGAGATGGAGTTAGAAGAGGACTTCACTCTGGAGTTCTAGAGGACAACCACTCTTCAAGACAACCTAAAGCTTCATATGTATTATTAGTTACAAGATTTAATGTTCCTATTAGTTTATTTATTTTTTTTTGCTCAATTTCAAGACTTTGATTAATCTAAATGTTCAAAAGTTTTCTGTGATATTAGAATTTTGTGAAACTCGCAATAGAAATTAGCTTCGTCACGAAATTGAGGGGACAATTACGACATTCCCAAAGTTAACTGCCGTAATAATCATATAATAGGCCTACTCAATTAACCAAACTTAAGATTACTATCAAGGTTGTTGTACAGTTACCTACGATAAACACCGATCTCTTTGATGCTTTGCAATTTCAAGGTAATAATAAACTACCAAAACTGATTGTTGTAAATGAACCACTAGTTACGGAAGTATTAGATGGGCGGGACCCTAGTGAATTATCCGACGATGAGCAGGCACGATCTGATTTCGATGGAAGCGATATAGGAGATCCCAACTATGTACCGTTATCGGACAATGCTTCGTTGGGTGGTGAAGGAGACAATTATGAAGATGAAAACTACGAGATGGAAGTGATATTGTTGACAGATGGGAGAACATTTCACCAAGATGGTGTCTAACGCCATAAACCAACAAGCAGACATCTAGTCAACAACACACTCGGCAGAGGCGGAGACAATGAGACAATGGATGAAGGCGGGGACGACGGAACAGTCGGGGGAGGAGGGGAAGATGGAACAGTCGGCGGAGGCGGAGGACACGACCCCAGGTGGTACCGGCACATCAGAAGAACCTGACATAAATCAATTTGGCTGCTGTTGGGTCAAAGACAAAACACCTTATACTTTACATGAGACAGTTTACTTGAGAGATTTTTGTGGAAATTCAAAAGTGAACATTAACATTGAAAACCCTGCTTCCCCTATTTATATTTACTTGCACTTTCTAGAAGAAGAGCTGTTGGACAACATAGCACAAGAAACAAACAGGTATGCTTTTCAATATTTATCAGGTAACCAACCATCTGAAAACACATAAATTTGTATTGGTTAAATGATATGTTATATGGAAATCCATTGATCAAACAAAGTATGACGAGAGACCACTTCTTGTTGAAGAAATGTTGGCATTTTGTTAATAATGAACAAATTCCTGACTAAAATGATTGTTTGGCAAAGAAAAGAGTTATTGTGAACTACCTGAACTCCTACATGCATGAATGGAACCCGGCAAGGATCTTGTCATTGAAGAGACGATGATACCAAGGCGAGGGAGGCTTGTGCTCAAACAATAAATAAAGAATAAAGTCCATTAGTACGGAGTGAAGGTGTACAGTAGACGGCTACACACTAAAAAAGATTCTGTATGCGGGGAAGAACACCAAAAGCATTAAGGAGCTAAATAAATACAAATTAGAGTGTCAAAACCAGCAGTTAGTGATAAAGATGCTACAATCGGATAATGAAAACCTAACTAAGGAGCTAAACGAGTTAAGAAATGGAAATGGTTTTAAATGCTTAAAATGTTACCCACCCTTCAAAACAGTAAACAATAGTTTTAAGTCACTCAGTGGACAAAGCAACTCCATCATACAAAATGTAGGGATCACCTGTGAAAACCGTTTTAGCATTCTCCAGTCAATAAATAACGATGAAGTCGAGAATATTACTACAGATAGCTCGGAAGATAGTGTAATCCTAACAGCACCTAACCACACAAGTCACACTCGTAAACCAATGAGTGGTCGTAAACTGAACCCGAATATTGCACAGCCCAAACTAATGATCTTTGCAGATAGCCATGGGACAAATTTGAGCAAGTTGGTACATCAAAGGTCATCTCACAACGTGTCAGCATATGTCAGATCCGGAGCAAAATTTAGGCAAGTTGTGGAAGAAGTGAAGGTGATATCAAGAAATCTGACTAGCAAAGACCACCTCATAGTGCTGGCAGGTGCTAACAATGTAGAAACTACATCCATTAAGCAGCTCATAACTGAAATCAATCAATTCATTACTGAGGTAAACAATACAAACCTGCTTTTTTCGACATTACCAATGCGACATGACCGGCCAGACCTGGATTTGAAAATCAGCAATATAAATACTGAACTAGCAAAGATCACTGGTTTACATAGTCACATGACCCTCCTACCCTTCCATCTTTTTCCTAGACACTTTTTTACAAACCACGGCCTCCATCTAAACAAGAGGGGAAAGAACCATCTAGCTAAAGTGACAGTGGATATTGTGAACAAGATAAGTAAATTACCATCAGTATCCGACAACTTATCTAATGCTTCCAGAAATCCTCCTAGGCTTCAATCAAATGTCACAAGACAAGATATTAATGTTGTCAATGTTAATATGGAAGATATGATTACTAAATATAAAAATGACATCACCACAGCCTTTGCACACACCATCTCTCAGGATTTTGAAGACAGTAGACACATGTCAGCAGGAGTTGCATTGGTCTTCAGGAAGAGATTTGGCCGACCTCAAACTACAGACTTAATAGACAGTAAACTAACCATGCAAAAAGTACACAATGGAGCTAAAATTTTCAGTTTATTAACAAAAGCAAAGTTCAACGGCAAGCCCTCTGTTCCTGATTACAACCAATCATTCAAGCAATTAGAGAAGCAGTTTAAAATTCAAAAACTTAAGACACTCATATGCTCTCCTATGGGCTGTGTGCGTGACCAAATCAATGTGCAGCATTTTGCTCAAAACATTGCCAATTTCCAAAAAAGAACCAATGCAAATATATGTGTTGTTTCATATGACCAACCTACAGCACAAAGACCACTTTGGAAGGGTCTTTAACATGATCAGTTTTTGGTGGTTCTTCAGAGCGAAATTTTAGAAGCAATGTCTCAGCTTGAGGAGCAGGCTTTACTACCAAAAGAGCCCATAGAAGATGGTACACACCTACGAGCAGTGGAAAAGCGGAGTACCGGACTAGAAGAGCAGCAACCCACTAGCCTGAGCCAGGTTTCACAGCCTCTAACAGCCTCTATTTGCATCTCGAACTCAACACCTGAGCCAACCACATCCTCGCCGGCAACAGTGGTAGAGACTACCGCTGCTTCAGTAGCTTCTCAACAACAAAAAAACTCTTTAGCAAGTCTGACATTAATTGTGAAATAGCTGTAAGAAATAATTTGATATGGCCAGATTGTAAACAAAATGAAAATATTCTATGGTTAATGCACTTGAATATTGAAGGAGGTTTTATAAGCAAAAAAAAATGATTTGGAAATTATCTTGGAAAATTCAAATATTTCTGTGCTTTGCTTGAATGAACATTGGATTGAAAAGAAAAATATGTTAGTATTAAATAGCATTCCTAACTAAAATCTGGCTCATTTTTATTGTAGGGATTCAGGTACTCAAGGCGGTTCCTGTATTTTATTAAAATATAATTTAGAATATATTGTAAGAGATGACTTATGTGTCCTAAACAAAGATTCAGTTTTTGAAGCCTCATGTATCGAAATTGTAACTCTGGATGTTATCGTAATCTCAATTTATAGAACTCCATATTTAGAAAATTTCAAATCTTTTTTATATAAGATGGAAAGTTTACTTAAAATGTTGTGTAAATCTTCAAAAACAAAAAATATATTTATAGCAGGCGATTTTAACGTAGATGTATTAGAAGATTGTAGCCTTCCCAAACAAAGGTTAGACTTTATGTCCTTGTTAAAACAGTACGGTTTCATACTCAATTTTTCTTCTCCTACAAGAATCACCAAATCTACAAAGTCTTGCATTGACAATGTTTTAACACATAAAATGAAGTCACAAAACTCAGTTTTAACAATGAATGTGGAGTTAGGTCTTTCTGACCATAGGGCAATATTTATAAATATTTTTAGTAATTCTGATAACAATAACAAACAAAACAAAAATTTCAAAAGTAAAAAACGACTATTCTCTGAGAACAATATTAACAAGTTTGTAGGTAAATTGAGAGTGACCACATGGAATGTAAATGCCAAAAACTGCTTTGATGAAAACTGTGTAAATTTTTTCCAAAATTTTCAAAACATATTTGAGGAGGCTTTCCCTCTCAAGTTTTACAATAACAAAGTTCGAAATAAAAAAAAGCCATGGGTTACCAAAGGGATAAGAATATCTAGCTTAAGGAAACTAGAGTTGAGTCAACTAGCTAAAACATCTAATGATGTTGATTTTATTAATTATGTTAAAAAGTATAAGGTCATTTTCAAGCAAATATGTAATAGATCAAAAAAATTGTGTAATGCTAAATTCATTAGAGAATCTGAAAACAAGAGTAAGGCTGCTTGGTCCGTAATCAAATCTGAACTGGGTCTGGTTAAGGCAGATTATGATTTCCCCGACATTAAGGTAAACAATAAAACACTCAGCAATGCTAACGATATTGCAGAATTTTTCAATACTAAATTTGTTAATATCTCAAAAGAAATCGGGTTACCTCCTTCTGAATGTGAGGCATTAAGGCTTACACAAAATTCGATTACAGATTCTCAAAATCAAAAGTTTGATTTTCAAACAATAAATAAGACAGATGTAATTAAAGTTATTAAATCTTTCAGTAATAAAAGATCAGCAGGCTGGGATGAAATTCCTCTTGACATTATAAAAACTGTTTCCAATTCTATAGCTGAACCTCTTTCAATTATCATAAATCAATCTTTTCAAACCAATATTTTCCCAAATCATTTAAAATTTCAGAGCTTAAACCTCTTTTTAAAAAGGGAGAAAAACATAACCCAGACAATTACAGGCCAATTTCACTCCTGCCTACATTCTCCAAGGTGTTTGAGAAGATTGCTTGTAACCAAATCACAAATTTTATGGAAGCTTTTAATATATTTTCTGAAAAACAGTTCGGTTTTAGAAAAGGCCTTGGCACAATGAAT